TTACCTGAAAAGCCTTACTGGATGAGTCTTTGTTTTACATTAACTAACCGATGCAGCTGCCTAGAGATACCATGTTGCATACTTGGAAGACTCTTCCAATCCATGAACAGCACTTGAGTGATGTTCACAGAGTATAAGATTTCATGTGAGTCTGTTCTCTGCACTACCATTAATAGTGAAAAGGAAATATGGTGCATGCGCACGTGTGCACACGTACACATAAACCATACACATATTTTGGTCATACTATTTTTTATATAAATACAAACACTACTTCTACAGGTGTATTGTGTATGCATGTGTGTTCTGTGCGTGTTTTTATAATCTGGTGTTGAGATTCCAGATGTTTTTTGGAAAAACTTTGATGTTATATATGTATATTGACTATGCAAAAAAATGGAAGGACCTTTCAATATACATCTCAGAAATTACTCCTCTTGGCATGCTAGGCATCTATATATCTTAAATTTCCCTTTGCATTCAAGCTGACCTGAATGTCCACATCAGGGCAAATTACTTGTCAAGTTTGTAATTGGGGAGTTCTTAAAAATGTTTTATAATAATCTTTGTCCATTTTTTCTGCATTTTTTCTAGCTGTTAGCAGCCTGATTACTAGCTTATCTTGACTTACTACTCTGGAGCATTAAAAAAGGATCAAGGTTTTTTCTATATTGCTATTACTTGTAACTGGAAAATTTAAAATGCTTTGTGTTCTATTCTGAAGGAAGAGTTTCCAATTTTATTGTGATAAATTTCTATGTGTTGCATGTTGTTTTGTTCCAAAACAAAATCTTTGCTGTTTTATGTACATCCTTAGAAAATCCCCAAAAGTTAATATTATCCCAAATTAAGTTATATGCTCTCTTTCACATTCCTTCTTTCATTATTGTTATTTTTTAATAATTTATTTTTATATATTGAAAATTTTTAAAAAGCTTTTTTTATTTTCAACACCAACTTTTTAACTTTGGTCCAACATGAATTCTTTAGTATAATCTAGAGAGATATCAAATGCAAATTCTTGTTTTGCTACCTTAACAGAGTGGATGATTTGGGTGGTTATTTATGCTGTCATATATTATTTATATCTATGTCTATAATAACTTTAATTATGTTAATCTGCCTATTATTTCCCCTTCTCAGTTAATTATAATCATCTCTCCATATCATAAATCTGCAGATAAATAAAATCTAGTTGATACACAGCAATTGGTTCCATGTGATCTGGTACAAATTATTTTAGCTTTAGTGACATCCATGTTTTCCTTTAATACATTCTTATTTTGATGTCTGTATTTTTAATTCCTCCCTGGCTTATGCGTTGCTAGTTTGTCCCAACCCCGCCACCACCACTGGACTACCAGTGAGTGAATGTATATTATTTTCCCTGTTTGCCCTTTGTTAAATGCATGTTCTGCAGTATAAATGAAGGAGTGTGGCTTTTCTTGTGTTACTGAACCACAATTCCTCACTACTGACCAGCTATTGGGAATTGTAATTTTGTGATATCTATTTTCGAAGCTTCTCACTGCTGTTCTACATTATCCTGTGAAAAAGCATATATGTGATTCTGTCTTTGTCTAGCACCCAAGACATTGTTTCTCTGAATATAATAGGAAAAGGCTCACATAACCTGAAGAGAATTTGGTACATTTTCTTTTTCAGTCAAGTCAATAACTTCTGGCACCAGCCTTTATTGACTATTCCAGGTTTGCTTAGAGGTTTCCCTATGACCTTCTGACCCTACAAAATGAGATGGGAATTTAAAATGTAGTGCTGCAAATAATATTAACTTATTGTAAGAACAATGGGGTGGGGGGAAAGTAAAATTCTGGGTCATCAAATGAATTTAACTGACCTAATTCATGTCAATGGCATAAGGCAGGGACATGAATACTGCATTAGATATTCTTCAAAAGAATGGATGAAGTTTATGCAAGACAAACAACATTCGGTGTTACAACAGCTAAAGGAACTTCCAGTTCAGCAGCAATATGGTTCCAATTATCAGATACTAAGGCAAACCACAGGAAATTGTGGTTTGTGCCTTCCTTGGACAACCCCTTAAAGTCTCTGGCCAGTCATTCTTGGAAATAACTAGGAGATCTATCTCCACTCCTGTATGTGAATGCTGAGAACTTTGGGTTCTCAACCAAAGCCCTTTTTATTGCTCATCACTATTTGAAGAATGTTGAGTGTTTACTTGTGAAGGTGTATGGGGTTTTTTGGTAGCTGCCTTCAGCCTTGGAATTTGCTCCCAGGGAAAGAAACTTGGTATTTTCATTTTTAAAAAATCAGACAAACTGATGGCAGTAATATCAGTCAATTTATTTACAAGCAAAAGGCTCAAATAGCAAGTTGAAACATAATCTAAAATTTGCTATTAAATAAGACAGTTTAACAAGTGAAATATTTAGTAAGTATTACATAATATACTTAAAACTCTACTTGAGTGTGACATCAAGCTGAATCTGGAAAATCATGGAAGGGCTGTGAGTGAGGACCATCTGAATAGCACCCTTGTTAATATAGCTTGTGCACATCATGGCAACCAGAAAGTCCTGTATTAAAGGAGTAATTTTTTTTTGTAGCACTTAGGTTCGTTTTATTAATGCATTGAACAAATGTTTTATTTATTTATCCAACAGCAGAAATTGGAATCCCTGAAGAGTTTCTAGCGCTTAAACTGAACGACACTGGCTCATTGATATCACTCCGAATTAAATTCACTTTTCGCTCCTGCCATCAACGGGAATTGAAACTAAATTTGGGTGGACTGGCTCCTAATTTCTGCACGCCTGAGATCAGCGGTGATCTCTTAGGCGCTTGTCATACGGCGCGGCACATTGCGGAGAATAAATTGCCCACTTCTGCCTCTCCCTCCTCATCCCACACAGATCCTCGGGCGAATCACGCACTCAATCCGCTGCCCGGAGCCGAGGCGCTGCGAAGGCTTCCGCTCCCCCCTCCCGTGCTCAAAGTTATGTGGGAAAGGGTGTCTGGTTCTTCCGAGCCCACCCATACTGCGCTCATCACGTCCCAGCCTTGAGGGAGGAGCCATGCTATTTGCAGCTTGCCCTGTAGCCTTTTGCGCGAGAGGAAGGAGAGGGTGGAAGGAAGAGAAAATGGCTCAAGTCTTTGGGGGTCACGCGGTTACTGGAATCTAAAGGGATCAAGGGTCCGCCCACGTAGCCGCTATGGAAATATGACAGCTGAGGAGAGTCCAGCCAAAAGCTGCCCAAGCGGTTGGCTCCTGCCTGATTCCGGTACGTAGGGGAGGGTTTGGGTCGCGCCGTATTCTTATTTTCCTGCCACTCTAAAAAATAGTATTAATCTGAATTGTTGAACTCGCGTTCATATTCAACTGTAAACAAAATTTGATTTCTTCCTAAAGGCCGAAGTGGATGACCCCAAAGCTCACGTTGATCAGGCTTTTTGTTTACATCCGACGCTAATTTATTTGTTTACATCCGTTGTTTACTCCAAGCCTATCCCCTTTTCACCTCTTTCTGTTAGACGTGGCCCTACTTTGTGGCTGAAACCAACCCTCCCGGCGAGGATCTGGAAACTTCATCTTTCTCCCAAAACATACTCCCTTTGCTTTGGTGGACTCGAAAACGTCTAAGTGTACCGGGGAGCGCTGAATGGGGTGCAATACTGCCCAGCTCCCTCCCGCAACACTTCAAAGTTTTGCATCTCTACTTTGGGTCGCGTGCGTTTGCGTGTTTAAAGGGAAAGAACTTGCCACGGTATTGCTATCGGAATTCTCTCAGGAGGGGGAAGGAGATTGAACCGCAGAAATAACATTGGGAAGAAGGTGCCAAGGAATCGGGTGGGGGAGAGCGGCGTTGTTTGGATTAAGCGATCTTAATGAACGAACTCCAGGCCAGTGAACCGATGGCTACGAAATTGTCGACTTGTGGCTTTTAGAGAGGCTTGGGGGGGGGGGGGGGAGATTCACCGTCGGAGCGCTAAAGACAAGGGCAGAGGAAGCGGGAGCTGCAGGAGAAGGGGAGGAGAAATCAGGCAACCGAATGGGGAGCCTGCTCTGAGAGTCCGGTCCGGGTTTTGCTTACAGCCCCGGGCATTAGCAATAGCGGCGGCAGCAAGAGGCAGCCCTTTGCAATGTGGTCCGCCTGTCTCGGCACTTGCAGAGCGAGGATGTAGAGGTGGGTTTGTCGTGGAGTTGCTGGCGGGGATCGAGGGAGGGAGGGAGGGAAGGCAAGAACTGTTCTCGTCAGCTATCTTTAGCGCGATCAACTTATTTGCAATTCTGACACTGCCCGCTCCGACCTCTTTCTTAATATTCCCGCCGCCGCCTCCTGCTTTAGCTGCCGCTCCCGAATGTGTCCGGCGGGGAGTCCGCTTCGCCGAGGTCCCTTTTTGGGGCGAGGATACCTTGGGGCAGGTGTTAAGATCGCCAGCATCACCACTGGGCACGATCTGGATTTGCTTCTCTAATCCGGCTAGCGCCAGCTCGCGCACAACGCGCACACACGGACTGCCCGGGGTGGCGGGTGCAGCTCTCCTTCCTCCCTCTGCTTCACGGCTGCTATTCTTGTAGCTCCGGACCGCTTAGTTTTCTGGTAGGTGCAACAATCTGAAGAGGCCTTTTCTCTTGGTTCTTATACGTAGAGGCAGGGCGGGAGGAGGAAAGTCTTGCGGAAAAGTTTGCGGCGATGAAGTAATTCCTTTCCCTTCGGGTGCTGCCGAGTGGATGGCGTAAGTCCCTCTGGCTTCCTTCCACCTTCCGCGCCGCCTCCCTCCGTCCCTCCCTGCTTTCCTCCTGGGGAGGTGTTGCTGCCGCAGCAGCACATCCACACTGGTCTCAGATCAGTGGCTCCAGACAAAAAGCGAGGGGGGATTTTGGGGTGTGTGCCGCGTGCGATTTCTGAGCAGCGCCAGCGGCAAAAGAGCAGCTTCGGGAGGTCCCCTGAAGAGGGCGGGCTCTTCCCTCGATCCCGAAAGCCAACCCGGGGCAGGGACCTCGGCTCCTTTTCTGCTTCAGCAGGAAGAGAAGCGGCCGGAGAGCTGCCCGCCGAGGCTGTGAGTGGAGCCGCCAGAAAGGTTCGGCTGATTCTCGTTTTTCTTGGTCCTTGGGGCTTTGGGGGGAGGTCGTGGGGGGGGGGAGTGAGCGCTTGGTTCTCGGCTGCTGAGCAAAGTTTTGTTTGGAAGATTTAGCGCCCCCCCTCCTTCCCCTGCCTTTAAGGCGACAGCTGCCAGCTTTCAGCGCACGGGATTTATTGCAGGGTCTCTTTCCGTTCTCCCCCCCCTCTCGGGTCGGCCACTGCATTGAAGATCGAGAGCTCCTCCCCCCCATCCGCCCCCTGGGCCGCCTAATCGGTGGTTCGTTTCCCAGGTTACAGCCGTAGTGTCTGCAGCTAGCCAGCCAGGCGTTGAAGGCTGCTGGGTCTGGCTGACCCACCACGTCGTCCCTGCTCTGCTTGTGCGAGCAGGCGGCAGATTAGAGAGGCGCCCGAGCCTTGAGGAGCGCCTCTGTAGGGGGCTGTCAGCTGTTTTCGCCTCCGCTTCCCCCCGCGAGGTCTTGCCGGACAGTGGGCGAGCCTGGCTGGCGCTTCCATGCCTGCCTCCTGCAGCGCCTGAAGCTGGGGGGCGGGGGAAGAGGGAGGGAGGGAGCGAGGGAAGGAGGTTGGCTGGCTCTGCTACTGATGACCTTACCCAAAATATGCGGTCGGCAGGAAAGAAGAGACGTCCTAGAAGCTTAATTTCTTCGGCGAGGAAGGCTTCATTTCACCTCCTCTTACTTGAGGTATAAGCAGCAAAAAAGTTAGAAGTCACGGATTCACTTGAAAATTATTTTGTAAACAGCATTTGCTTCTGATTCCTGGTTGGTTTATGGGCTATCCATTTATCGTGGTGGCAGCCACACTTTTTCCTTTTCCTTTGCAGTTCGTTGCTTGGCTTTAAATCTGCAGACTTGGGAGATTGTACAGCTGCACCACTATGCAGCTGCTTGCTATGCCGGCAGCTAGAAGACTTTCCTTCCCCACTAGGACCCCTTTCCCTAACCCCACTAACCCTAAACCAGTGTTTCTCAACCTTGGCCACTTGAAGATGTCCGGACTTCAACTCCCAGAATTCCCCAGCCAGCAAATGCTGGCTGGGGGATTCTTGGAGATGAAATCCGGGCCTCTTCAAGTGGCCAAGGTTGAGAAACACCGGTTTGGGGTTAGTGGGGTTAGGGAAAGGGGGAAAGGGGTCCTAGTGGGGAAGGAAAGTCTTCTAGCTGCCGGCATAGCAAGCAGCTGCATAGTGGTGCAGCTGTACAATCTCCCAAGTCTGCAGATTTAAAGCCAAGCAACGAACTGCAAAGGAAAAGGAAAAAGTGTGGCTGCCACCACGATAAATGGATAGCCCATAAACCAACCAGGAATCAGAAGCAAATG